GTCATGGTGATTCATCTAATCGACAATGAGAAGCAGCAAGTAATCATATTCAGCAAATTGGCTGGAAAATCTGATTCTGCCTGGTTCTACAACCACTGTGATTTAGTGTGAGTTGTGTGGTGCACAATAACACGTCACAGCTCTGAGGGGGCTGTGCTGCCTCTGTCTTTCACTGATTTCACTGGGAAAACCTGTTCCGCACTTCCTCCCCACCCGCAGATGGAAGAAGGAAAACTTGATTTAGAGTTTTAGATTAAAGCTTTTGTAGTGTGTGGAATACTCAGTTTAAGGAATATCTGAATTTTCTTGGTCATTCTCTGTTTACCTTGTCCTCTTGCTCCTTTTAGAGTTGAAAGTAAACCATCACTGCAGTGTTCACATTGCTTGCCAACATTCGCAATGCTTGTTCTGACCTTTTTATAACACCTCTCTATTTATTCCTGTGGGGTTATTTCTAGATGTCCTTAACACCCCTTTTTTCACTCTGCTGAAAGCTCTTTTGTCCATTTTAAATGTAGTTTGCCTCCTCCTGAAGTGAGTTTTAAATGGCACAAATTCACTTGTGCTTGGCCACATCCTGTTTAAAGATGAGTCTTGCCTTAAGCTGCAGAATTTAGAGTTTTGCTCTTCTTCAGCAGATTGCAAAAGAATTTTATGGTGTTCTGAGTAATAACTCCTGTGATAATTCTGCCTGGTAGGTCAATCAGAACCTTTCAGTGCTGTCTGTGCTGCTAAAGCTCAGTGTCACACCAATGTAGGAGTGACTTGCTAAACACTAACCTTTGGTATATATTGTGAACTTAACACTTGGCATTACAGGAGCTGTTAGTTCATCTTGGATTAAAAACAGTATTTGGAATGTTTGGACTGAAATTGTGTTGAAACTCCCCGGTGGAGGCTGGACAGTGGCTGTTCTGGGAGCTGAATGCATTCTCAGTGATGTTCTTGCTTTTTCCACTCTGTACATAATGAGTCTTAATTTCTGTAGCATAAAACCCCTGTGGGAGAATGTTAGAGCTAATTCCATGGCTTATCAGGAAATCCTGAATGTCTCTTACAAAAGCAAGAATAATCTGTTCCTTAAATTCAAAGAGTAAAGCTTAGCTTTTCTCAGATACTGTAATTTCCCTTTGAATTAACAAATTATGCTCTGGGTGCCAAGATGCTCAGCAGTAGTAAGTGGCTCTTAATCCAGAGGTGAACTGTGCACTCTCACAGGCAGCTAAGCTTGCCAGACAGCCAGTTGTCAGTGAAAGGGCTTGTCCTACTTCTCCCAAGGCTACATTCCCCTTTTCTCTCTCACCAGCACTTATGTTATTGAGCTGGGAAGCTGAACTGGCAGCAGAAAAATTTGAGGGTTTTTTTTTGTCACTTGGTCCAGTTATCTCCATGTTTAGGTCGAGTGAGGTGCAATACTGAGGGTGAGATTGCTGGTAATAGGCAGCTCTGAGCTGTAAGGAATTGCAGTGAGGGGACACTGTAACACCAGCTCAGTGTTAGTAACTCATTAATTTACATACTCAGAAATTAAGCCCATTTTTAGTGATCTTTGTTGAAATATTACTTGGCAACCCCTTCAGTGCAGCCACCAAGTACTGAAAATAGCTGTATCTGGGGCCTTGTCTCTCCTTTGTAATCCCTTCCTAAGAGGGAGCAGAGCTCAGGCAACTTTCCTAGTGTCTGTAATAATCTTTAGGAATAAATCCTTAGGAATGTGGGTGCTTGGTATTTCTGCTGTTCAAAAAAAAAAGATTCATGAACAAAAATGCAGGGAGACTATTGAGTCATTGCAGAGCAGTGAGAGGGCTGCAGGGAGAGCCAGACTGGGGGAGTTTGTTTAATTTTTCCAGATAAATGCTGATCTATCTTGTCCAGATAATTCTGATATAGAATCACAGAACCATTTGGGTTGGAAGGGACCTTAAAGCCCATCTTGTTCTGCCCCTTGCCATGGACCTCCCACTGTCCCAGGCTGCTCCAAGCCCTGTCCAACCTGGCCTTGGACACTTCCAGGGATCCAGGAGCAGCCACAGCTTCTCTGGGCAGCCTGTGCCAGGGTCTCCCCATCCTCTCAAGGAGGAATTTCTCCCCAATTTCTAGCTTACATTTCAGTTTGAACCCATTATTTCTTGTCCTCAGTATCCTATTTTGTACAAAATGGAAGGAAGAAAACATTTCATTGTTAGTCTGAACTTTGTCAGTTAGATTAAAAAAATGGAACTTTGTCATGGCAGTGCACGGATTGTTTGTCATTATAAGCCAAGTAGCCTGTTCTGGTTAGGCTGAGGAAAAAAATTCCCATGAAGAATGATAGTAAAATGCAATAAATTACTAAAAGTACCATTTCAAAGGTTTCATTAATAAATAGCCTTTTGGAAAAGGGAGTTGGTATGAAGGGAAGGGGAAAGCTTTGAGGAATCTTTCCTGCAATTAAAAACCTAATTAATATTGCTGGCAATGCTCTAGTGGGTCAGAGCCCTCTTCCTGCCTTTGAAAATAAATGGGAAAGCCTGTTCCCAGTTTTTACAGTATTTTGTAGGCACTGGGCTAATGAATGTGATGGGTTTTGCTGTCCCTGTGATTTTGGGGTGGGATCTCTTTGAGTGAATGTATCCAAGCTGGTGAAAGAAAGTGGTTTTTTTTTGTTTTTTTTTTTTTTCCTCTGTGGATTGAGCATCTTTTTCCAGGAATGATCAGTGGTGTCCCAGGCTGCTGGAGGAATTTGTTCTCCCAGAACAAAGCAATCCCTTAAAAGTGTTCAAGATATTTGGGATATGCCTTATCAGAAGCTCTACACTAATAATGCTGTGCAGCTCAGGAGGGTTTCTGTATAGATGAGCAGTGTGCTGTTCCTCACCATAATCAGAACTTCCCTGATACATGAATACACAGGAAAGGGCTTTGTGCCTGGACAGAACATACCTGCAAAAATTCCCAATTCATATCCATTTATTGGACTTAAAATACCTGTAATTGTACCATGGTACATACACTTTTATCAACATAGAGTGGACTTTCAGCAAATGTGAAACTGTTGGAGGTAGGGTCCAAATGAATCACTTTATTGCCTTGCTTTTTGTCAGGCCTTTATGGGTTTGAAAATTTCAGTCCTCCTTTAGAAAAACGGGGGGATTGAGCAGAGCTTTGATTAAGGGATCCCTGGATCTTCTTGTACATCTTTGGCTGTTAAACTTAAAGGAGCATTTAAATCTATCTTTGCCTTTCTAATCCCATTAGAGGGGGAAGTGGCAACACAAAGCCCCTCTGGCATATGTCAGTGACTTGGCTGCCAATACAGAACCAGCTGTTCTTCTTTAAAATAGTTTTATTTAGCATTTTCTTGTCTTTTCTCATGATGTTTCACCTCTTCCAAGGAGACAGGACATGTGGAAAGCAGTTGATGCATAGCCCAAAGCAGAAAAAGCCCTGCAGTTATTTGATGTTGTGAGTTTAGTGCTGCCACCTCCTCCATCAGTGGATTTGGATGTGTTGTGCTCAGTGCAGGGTGTGTTTCAGGTCCCATTTCTTAGCTGCAGGTATCAAACTGCAATTTTCCCACTTTATCTATGTGAATCTTAAAGGAAGTGGGCTCAGGGTGCAGCTTTTGAGCCACACAGTGCTGGTGCTGTGCAGGGCCAGACCCAGGGTGACTGGTGCTATTCATTGAGTCCCACTGCTGGAGCTCTCATGTTTCTTGTCATTTATTCCATCTTTAGTTAAATTATCGAGTGATTTACACCCAGATCCTCTAATTGTGAGATCACTTGATGCCTGTTACATTCTCTTCCTGTAATCGTGGTGTAGTTGTTCTTTTCCTTTCTCTCTGGATCTCCTGGTTCCTTTGTCTCGGCTTTTTGTTCCCACAGGCTGTTTCTGAAGCTTATTTGAGCTTGCTGTGTACGGGGGGTTCAATTGGAGTGCAGCTCCAGGAGCTGTGGGTGCCCAGGGCTGATGTGAGTGCTGTGAGGTTGCTTAGCACTGGAGCTGCCATGGGCTGCAGCCTGTCTGACTTGTCTGGAGCCCATTGGATGTGTGCACTCGTGTTTAATGGCCAGTGTTAAATTCCCTCTGCCTGCCAAGAGAACAGGTACATGTTAAATGTCTTCTTGGATCCTTCACCTGTTCTCTTCATGGTTCCAGGGAAGGGGAAAATGAGGTCAACTCCCACTTCAAAACAGCAAAGATGAGGCTTGGAGGAAGATACTCTCTATTTGCTGCTTTTTTTCAACCTTACCACAGCACTGTTTTTATCCTTTCCTTAGAGATTCCCAGCACTTGTCTTCTTTCATTTCTTTCTAGACCAAAGTTGCTTGTTCTGTATCTTACAAAAGACTTCTGGTTTGTAAGAACTTTATTCTTAGTATTCCTCAGCAAGTTTCCTCAACCTCACAGTGAAACCCAGGAGGGAGGAAAGCTGTAAACCAAGATGTGTGTCTCATTCAGTGAGTGACAAAGATCAGAAATTCTCTTCTGACTCATTCATCCAACTGTTGACATGGCTTAAAAAAGCCTGAAGTGGCAGCCTTCAGGAGGCAGAGTACAGCTGCACTTAAAATGCACTTGATTAAGGTGAATTTTGACCCTTAGACTCTGGATACAGGCAGTACAACAGTGCAGTTTGTTCCAATATTAACTATTTAATTGACCATTAAGAATGTTTGCTGATTTTTTTCTGGTGATAATCTGTAGTTGCACAGTGAGCTAGGCTTGTCATTTGCATAGCCTTTAGTATTGACTGATTGCTGCTGGCAGGAATAAACTGTCAGAAGTGGCTTTTGTCTCCTTCCTGCTGGAATTCTCAATTAAGTAATAACCAGTGCTGCCTAGAAAATGGGTTGACAATTAAACACTTGTCCTAACCCAGAGGCAGTAAGCTTTCCTGTGCACCCCACAGACCTATAGAACACCACCCTCTAGACTCTGTTTGGCAATTTTGTATTTGTTCCTTTAATTGTTGTAATTGCAGAGCAAACTGATCCAGGAGCCTGCAAGATGAAGGGGGCCCAGATACATTTTCCATTCCCAAAAACTAAAGCTCAGCATCTGTTGCATGATGGTATCATTTCCTTTTAACCACTGCACTGAACTGTGGCTGTAAACCTGTGTTTCCTTCCTGCAGAAGATGCTCCTTTGAATGGAAGTAAAAACCTGCCTAGAGGACAGAGTTCCATGCAGTGATTATGTGGAGCTCAGATCTGCTGCTGCTCGAGTACTTGTGCTTTGTTTGCACTGAGCTGTTGGAGGGAATGAGTTTGGCAAACAATTTAGCCATCTTTTTTAATTTGTACAGAACTTGTCTTCTCTCAGCCTGGCTCCCTGAATCCGGGTTGTCCCAGGGTGCTGAGTGCCTGAGCACATCGGTGGGAGCAGGATTGCCCTTTCAGCTCCAGGCTATCTGATAGCTGAGCTGTAACATGAAACCCTGAGATAGAGAAACTAAAACCAAGGTCAGCCTTCATTAGTGAGAACTCCATCAAAGCACAGTTCCTGTTACAAGAAATGTGCTGCTGGATTCTGCTTTTTTCCCAAGTCCTATTCCAATGGAGAATGACAGCAGGTTTCCCCTGCTGCTCCCAGTAGGTGAAGAAGCATTTCATTAAATCCAAGTCCCAGTTTCTCTCTGGATGTTGGTGACCCTGAGTGCATGAGAACTGCTGATCTCAGTGTGCAGAGAGCAGGGCTGTGTTATCCCTGCAGTGTCCCTTTCCCTGCCTTCCCTGCTAATGCCCTGTGTGCCCCTGCAGTTCCTGAGGGTGACCAAGCAGTACCTGCCCCACGTGGCCCGGCTGTGCCTGATCAGCACCTTCCTGGAGGATGGCATCCGCATGTGGTTCCAGTGGAGTGAGCAGAGGGACTACATCGATGGCACGTGGAACTGTGGCTACTTCCTGGCCTCCATCTTTGTGATCATAAACCTCTTTGGGCAGCTGAGTAAGTGGCTCTGGGGCTGTTCAGGTGCAGGCAGAGCCCTCCAGTGTGGATGCAGTTCTGTTAGTCATGGCAGCGTGGGATGCCTCACTGATTTCCTGATAGCTCCTGACAGCTTAGAAATGATAGTACTACATGGGCTGAATGGAAAGAGCTCTGAATTGACCTGCTTCAGCCTTTCCTGGAAGCAGTCATAGAGAGTTCCTTGTGACACAATGCCTCTGAGTCAGAGATGGCAAGAATTCATCAGGACAATCTGATTTCAGTTCTGTACATGTATCCATAAATACAAGCCACACCCAGAGTTCTCTAAATGAAATACTCCTGTTCTTTTAAACAGGGCCATGTTGAGACTTTCTCAGCCTTCTGTTTTTATGGGCATTCATCTCCAAGGCAAATTCTTAACCAGGAGAGGGTGCATTTAAGCCTGAGTGAGGTGCTTGTGTCAGAAATATTTCCAAAGCTCAGGAATCAAAATAATCCCTGAAAGAGTGCAGTGCTGTGTGTATGCTGGGTGGGCTCAGGCTGTCAGAAACTGAGAGAGGAAAAATCCTGTTCTGTTTATATTATGTCCCTGATTGCCAATTCCTTATCTCGTGTCTGGATTTAGATTTTTTGCCCTCACTATTTGGTGTAGATAGTCACCTTAATTTAATGCAGTTGCCAGTCCTCATGTCAAAGTGACAAAGGCTGTTGGTGCTTTCTGATGGAAGTTTTGAGAAAGATTTTGAGTTTTAACCTTTTAAGGAAAAGGAATACAGCATGATGGGCCTAACAGTTATCTCACAGAAGAGAAAGGAAAATCCAAGTTAGCATTCCTGCAGGAGCTTTTCCAAGTGTAACTGTGTTCAATTTCCCCACCTCAGGTGGCTGTATCCTGGTGCTGAGTAGGAACTTTGTGCAATATGCCTGCTTTGGACTGTTTGGAATTATAGCATTACAGGTAGGAGGCTTAAATCTTCATCCCTTCTAAACTGTATCTTTCAAATCTCTCTTAGCCCCAGTACTCCCAACATGTTTAAATATAACTTGCAACCCTGGAATTTTTCTCCACCCTGGCTTAGTGCCAGTCCTTGATGGCATTGAACTATTTTGCTGCTTCTGTTCTCCTGATGTGCCCAATAGATGTAATTGCAATTAGTCAGCTTGGAGACATTCATTCAATACTTGACCTTGACCAATTTAGCAGAAGTAACTGGCAATTTACCTGGATGTCAGTTAATGAGCCAAATGTGGAACTTGCAGTTGCTTTGGCCTTCAGCTCTGTTCCCATCACAAAGGATCCTATCTAGTAGCATCCTTCCCCTACAAAACCAGGGAATTTTGGGGACCCTAAAGCACAAATCAAATTCTGCCTTCCCTTCCCTGTGTTACACAGACTCACTGGACCACACTGATGTAATGACCTTGTTTCCCTCACTATACTGTGTTTATAATCAAATTCTGCCGTGGCAGATACAGACTTGAGATTGTAACAGAAACTCAGAACTTCAGTGTCATTTATGTGATGTTTTAACCTGTTTTATTCTTTGTCTAGACTATTGCATACAGCATTCTATGGGACCTGAAGTTCTTGATGAGGTATGACTGCTTCTGGAAGTTTTTATGGAAACAGAATGAAAACTGACACTTGGTGGCAGAGGAAATGACATTTGTACATAGTATTTACTAGAAAGGTTTTACAAGTGATGCATTTATATTAAAGAAGAAATGATAGCTCCTGAAAAATTAGGAGGGACGATGTTAAACTAAAGAGAGCAGGCTCAGGAAGGGAAAGACTAATCCTAACCCACTAGGATCCAATTGCTTCTGCTGCTGACCTGGCTGAGAGCTCAACCAACTGTCTACACTTGATCAGAGTTGCTTTTATTTCCCAAATGGCAAAAATAGCAACTTTGCTTCTGCATGACTGAAGCCATTTTCTGAGAAAACTACAGCATGTGGTCACTGGAGTGGTTTCTGGGATTTTAAACCTCTTAACACCTTCCCTGAGGAGAAGACAAGATTATAAACATCAGCTTTCCTGTCAGGCCCTGAGTGATGGCTGGCTGTTGCCTTTGCACCCCTCTGAGGGAGGCCAGCACAAGAGCTACACTCTGGGCTTACTACAGCCCTGTCAATGTGTAACTTTTCAGCTGCTCTGTTTTCTCAAAGCAACCTCTGAACTACTTTGGCATATATGGCTAAACCTGAGGTACAGAATAACTTGAACACAATGAAATCCGTGTTGTAACGGCCCCTGAAGCAACTGTGCCTGAGTGGTGGGCGCTGGACTTCCCTGGCAGGCTGCTCCCCCAAATCCTGGGTGTGCTCAGTGCTGCTGGGGCTGGGAAGTCTAACACAGACAAACACATCCCACAGTGCAGAGCAAGTCACTCCTCACTCTCACACAGATCCTTACTGAAATTGTCAGATAAGACTTTACAGATACAGATCAGTGCAAGCTGTACTAAACTGCTTTTTTTTAAATCTTTTTCCCCATTTGTGTAGGAATCTTGCCCTTGGGGGAGGCTTGCTGCTGCTTCTGGCTGAGTCCCGCTCGGAGGGGAAGAGCATGTTTGCTGGTGTCCCCACCATGAGGGAGAGCTCCCCAAAGCAGTACATGCAGCTGGGGGGACGAGTGCTGCTCGTCCTCATGTTCATGACACTGCTACACTTTGACATGAACTTCTTTTCTGTAAGTATCTCAGCATTGAAGTACGAGTTGAGCAACTAGAATGTAGCACCAGTGCCCAGGTGGGCTGCAGGATCTCAATGCTTATTGAAATCTATAAGTAAAATTAATACTTTAGAAAATCTATAAGTAAATTTAAATACTTTAGAAAATGTTATTTAGGTTATCTATGCCATGACAACTGAACTTATCCAAGCTCTGCTCTCATGTTGGTGTATCTGTTTAAGAACTGTGTAAGTAAAATGTGGTTTTTGTGGCTTTTGTTCCTTGCAGATTCTGCAGAACATTGTGGGCACAGCCCTGATTATCTTGGTGGCAATTGGCTTCAAGACTAAGCTGGCTGCCTTGACTCTGGTCATCTGGCTCTTTGGCATCAACATCTACTTCAATGCCTTCTGGACCGTCCCAGCCTACAAGCCCATGCACGACTTCCTCAAATACGATTTCTTCCAGACCATGTCTGTCATTGGAGGGCTCCTCCTCGTGGTTGCACTGGGTCCTGGTGGAGTCTCCATGGATGAGAAGAAAAAAGAGTGGTAACAGGAATAGCAACACTTCTTGGGACATACTGTACTAAGTCCAGAACTGATTCTCTATGGATTCAACAAAAACTGCCAGCATTTTACACATACATGCCCCCTTCCTATAAAAGGCACAGATGTTTTGAATTTCATTTACTGTGGCACCAGTAATACAATAGATAAAATCCTATTTCTTCAAGGAATGTTGCCTAGGCTTATTCTAACTTCCTAGATTTGGGACTAACCCAAGGAACCTGCATTTTGCTGATGCTTCAGTGAATTGCAGTAGAACAGTTGCTGTCTGGAATGTCAGCAATGTCTTAAAATTTGCAGAAAGGTGAGCAGATAGAGCTGGATCATTCAGTGGTGTTGGGTTGTAGCTATAACTAAAAAAGTGGATCCCCTTTCTTGCCCTTATCAAAACTGTCTTGTGCATAAGGAGTTCCATGGCTGGTTATAGCATTGCTTATCAAGGTGGAAAGCAGCATCAAAGAAAACCTAGAAAATCAGTTATTTTGCTGCTCAGAGGCCTGTAATTCCCTTTTGTTCAGCAGGGAAGGGTCTTTCCTGCTCCTGAATAGAAGGCAAAAAGAAAACCTTGGAAGTAGTTGCACTGCTTTCTGGGTAAGAAAAAGGAGAGGATTTTCTAACATGTCCCAGTTCTGCTCTTGAGGGGAACAAGGGGAAATCCTGTATTGTTAATCATGAATCCTGTATTGCTAATCAGATTTAAAGGAAGTGGGGGAGATAATCCTGAAGAGACAGAACATTAGATTCTGTGAAAATTCTGTGCCAAAAGAATTCTCTATTCTACATTCTTTCCCCAAAAGTTGCTCCTCCTGAATTCCCAAGAAGGGAGCCAAGTTGTGCTGCAGGTTCCATAATAAAAGCTCCTTTCTCCTATTAACCAGCTTCCATCCATATATACCCCAAATTCATATTTGAATGGCAGGTTAATGGTGAAAATGTCTTGAGAATTACAGAAACTCCCCTTTTCTGTGCACTCAGTACTTGCCAGATGAGAGCAGTCAATCTCCTAATCTGTAGTCTTTGCTTCTTAGATTCACTTCTGTCAGTCTCTTGGCTGTAAGAGTCCCAGCTGGCTGAAGAGCTGGGCTGCTGAGCTCTCCAGGACAGCCCCTCCTCTGCCACCTCAGAGCACCCTGAGCTGTGCAGGGTGGAAATGTGGAAGTGGCCCCTGTTCCCAACTCTGCAAACGGTTCTAGCTGAGGAATGTGAGTGCAAAGCCTGGGCAGTGGAGAAGCAGCCAGGGGTGAACCTTCCCCGGGAGGAACTCAGGAGGGTGAGGAAAGGAAGGCCCTGTTTGACTTCTCAGTGCCACAACCTCTGTGCCATGACCATGCTTAGTGCTGCTCAGGGAGGCCTTGTGTCCTCTCTTAGTCAACTAGGTGTGAACCTGTTTCACTAAATTGTGGAGGAATTCTAGACAGCATGAGCCCTACCAACTTCCTACCATTACATTGATTCCTTGCTCTCTTGCCTCCCCTGAGGAAGATGCTCAGCTCTTTGCTGAAGGAGGAATTCAGCTGAACATCTCCAATGGGAGCTGTTCCCCAGGATCTCCTGATAAGGGCACTCACCTGGACAGTTCAGTTAAACAGTTGCTTTTTAGGAGAGAAAACTGGCCTGAAAGAACTAAAAAAAATAGAAGAGCACTGTTGAAAGTTAAACCAGTGATTTCATCATCTTAAGGGGATAATAGCCTCTGTAAGGGCAAGATGTGCTGCTGCTGGAGGAAGCCATTTGCTATCCCAGAATAGTTAGGGTTGGAAGGGACCTCTGAAGATCATCTAGTCCAACCCATATGTCCAGATTGATGGAAGGGGAATTCAGCATTAAGGTCAGGTCACTTATGGCTTTCTTTTCAAGGAAGTTTTGCAAGAGAAGTCTTCGCCTCAAAGTGTTCTGTGTTCCTGACTCTTCCTGGCTAAACAAACTGGTCCTTTCAGTCACAGAGCTGCAGCACAGGAGCCTTTCACTGTTTCACTGCAGCTCTTAAAACGGTTCTAGACTGATCAAGGCAGCCACTCTCAGATACCTGAACTGCTGTTGATGTTCATAGTATTTATAAATGACAGAAACTACTCCTGCAAGTAGCCCCTTGTCTTTCTCAACTTCCTTGTGTCCTGTCTAACTAAGGAGCAGGATGACAGACTAGTCTGAAATATTGACCAGTTTCCTCTGCGAAAATCAAGTCTCCTTCCCAACAAAAGACCCTAGAAAAGGAACTGTTGCTGTTCCCTGCAGCAGGAATACTTCAGTATTCCAGGGGCAGTTAGGTGGAGGGCATTATCAGATACTTCTAGGCAGCACAACGTGCAGACTTATTAACTGTGAGTCCTGATGCAGAAGATTCTGGTTTCCTACATACACTGCTGTACTTGTGCATCTCCCAGAAATTCAGTGACCTCTCCCCGTGGCTGAGAAGCTCTCACAAGCAGGCTGTCAGCTACCAATTGGCTCTGCAAAGTGTTCTGGAATTCATTCTGAATATATTTTTGCTTTCTATGTGGAAAAAAAAAAAAGAAATAAGTATAAATTCTCATTTTATGCTGTATTTTGTACCTTAGTTGTGTTTGAAAATGTTTTGATTTTTGAAAACAATCAAAATAAAACAATGGCATCTTTGTATCCACTTGGCGTGTGTGGCTGGTGATGCTCCACCGCTGAGCTGCTGTGCTTTCCTGCCTAACAAAAAACAGCTTTCTGTAAAAAAACTGAGCTGTCTGGACTTGACTGCAGCAGACATCCTTCCCTCAGTGTGGGGCTGGCTTGAAGCTCTTGGAATGCAACTTAATTCCAGTCCATTATTCCCTTTCACACCTGCAACAGTTAACTGGAATGGGCAGACACTTCATGCTGTGCTCCCACTAGAATTGTTACACAACAGGCTTCAGGCCAGGTATTTATCATAGAATTTATTTCCCATTGGTTGCTTTCTTGAAGTTTTTGGGTTTTCGATGATGGCTCTTGAATTTCTTCTTTAAAGGGCCTGTCTGTTTCTGTAGGGAAAAAAATGTTAATCAGCTTATTTCCAACATCCAGAAAAAGCCTTGCTTGAGACAGCTTAAACAGAAACTGAGTGTGATCTCTTTCAACAGCCAGAATGAGCCCAAGTCTGCTCATGGAGCCAGGATCCTGCAGCTCAGCAGCCCTTTCTGATGGTTTCATTAGGTATGAACTGACAGGCTCCCTGCAGCAATGAATCCAAACTTTATCCAGCCCTAACTTTCTACTTTGACACATTTATAACGTAAGGCAGTGGCAGAAAAATGGTCTAGAGGGACTCTGTGACTGCAAAACAGTTAAATTTTTTGTGTATTTGGAGAAAATTACAGAACCCACAGGAGACACATCAGCTTTCCTTCTATGATGGTGTGGGGCAGGATCCCACCCAAGATGAGCTCTTTGTACAGGCAGGAACATCCCTCACTACCCCAGCCAGGATAAATATTGCCTGGCAGGAATTCACACCTCGGGATGCAAGTCACTGTCTGGCACACAGGGAAAAATCTATTCTGAACAGCTTTGCACCTTCTGCTGGTTCCCAGACAGGAATAGCTGGCACACCTACGGGCTGGGATCCCAGCTCCACACCCCCTGCTGCTGCAGGCAGTGGGATGACTCCCACCTTTCCTCTCTTGCCAGCTGCTCTGCTGCCATCCTTCCTTGCCCCGTGCTCTCCGTTCTGCTTGGCCCCGTCGTCCTCGCTGTCTGTCACGAAGTCATCGCTGCCCTTTGTGCTCTCTGCAGCTGAGGGGTTTTTTTCTGGGAAGAGTGCAGCTAAAAAAGATTCAGCTCAAAATCAGTTCCCTCTGCCTCCCCTCACTTTGCTTTAAAAGTGCTTCCAGTCACCACGTGTCACTACTGGAATACTTGGGAAATAAACATGCAGGTGTCTTATTGGAAATGTGCCTTGGTGCTCTTTCTATTCCCCTTCTGGGAATGTCAGCACAGGTGGTGCCATGTGTTTACACCCCTGCTCCTGCAGCAAGATGGATTTGCACCTCCAGATCTAAGCCTGACCACCTTCTGTCAAGGATTTGCTGAGAAACAAGGAAAGTGGAGATTCCTAAAACAGCAAATCCCAGTGGATCTTGTATCCCTTTCCTCACACCTTGCATGATCCAACTCATTATTAGCATTAACTATTTCTTATTTGGTGGTGGTAAGCTTTTCCAAAACCCAAGCACTCCCAACTGGATGAAGTCAGGTGTCTCTGGACACCAGCATCAGGCAGCAGTGTAAAGAAACCAGGAGACAATTAACCAAGCAACTCCCTTGAGGACATAGGTGACACTATGGCTCTCACTCACGTGGGTACAGGTCACTCATGCTGTCATCTGTCTCCTCTCCATCCTCCTCGCTGGACTTTGGCTCCCAGAACTCCTCTTTCCTGTGAGGCTGCCTGCTCCCATTTGTTTGGTCATCAGGGTGCTGTGCCCGCTGCTTCTTCTGTCTCAGGCAGGCAGGGACGTACTCCACTCCTTCCCTCTGGCATTCCTCATCTAAGAGAGAGGGTCAGGCAGCACTGATCAGCTGCCCAGCCTCTGAGCCCTCCCATTCCCAGCTCAAGCTTGTAGGAAATGCAACTTGAAAGTACAACGTGCTCCAAATATACATCTACAGTGACACTATAAACCAGGAAAGATGTTAACATAGACTGTGCTGGACACATGAATCACACTTCCTGGGGGAGTTTCAGAGCTGATCTTAAGGAAGGATGTTACAAGGTATTTGCTAGAAGCCAATTGCTCCCCATATCTGAGAACTTCTTCCTAGCTGAGGAGGACACATAGTAACACACTGCTGTCAATTTAAACAAAGCTGTCCCACCCACTTCAGAGAGATCCACTGGAATCTCAACAGCTCAGGAAAGAAATGCTGCCTGGTACAGCTTCAGGGGAAAAAGAAAAAAAACAAAAAACAAAAAACAACAAAACAAAAAAAAAAGCTGCTTACACGTTTTCAGGGCCTTCTGGTAGCGCTTCCCTTGGACGTGACGCAGGACGTGCTCTGGAAGCTTGTTGATGTGTCTGAGGGTGAGCTTGCAGAACAGCTGGTGTCTAACAGACACAGAAAGGGCCAGCAACAGTTAAAGTGTGCTGTGACTTCAGAACTTTTCACTTACAAGCACTGCAAGTGGCTCAAAGTTGATCAACACTTTATAAATCTTTTCCCAGTCTCCCCAAATCCAGTTCCTAAGAACTTTGTAAAGCCCAACCACGTTATGTCTGAGATTGAACAAAGTGTAAAGCACAACACACAGCAGGGGGAATACGTACAAATTCTTCGTACTGGGCACAATGTGGGGCTCAAACGTGCCATAGTCGAACTCTCTGGCTGCCTTTATGAGCCGCTGGTACTTCTTGCCGCTGGTGTAAGCCTGCAGCTCCGACAGGCGACAGGGCAGCTCGTGTCCTGTCAGCCTGCACCTCACCTGAAAAACACACTGATGGTCAGGAAACCCAGGGGTTTATCCCATTGAATCTCAGAGTCCGTTCGGTTGGAAAGAACTTCTGAGATCATCCAATGCAACCTACGACCGATCCCCACCTTGCCAACCACACCATGGCACTCAGTGCCACGTCCAGTCGTTCTCCAGGCACGGGAACTCCACCACCTCCCTGGGCAGCCCCTTCCAATGCCTAATCACCCTTCCGCCGGGCCGGGCCGGGCCGGGGCTGCCATGGCCGCGCTGGTGCTGCGAGCGGGACCCAGGCTGCTGAGGGAGCGGCGGGGCCCGGGACGGGTGAGCCGCTGATCCTGTCCTTCGATCCCGTCCCCTCACCCCGTTCCCTCGTCCTGGTCCCTGATCGTGTCCCATTATCCTGTCCCCTCATTCTGTCCCCTCATCCCTTCCCCTCACGGGAACTCCACCACCTCCCTGGGCAGCCCCTTCCAATGCCTAATCACCCTTCCCGTATCCATCCCGGGGCTGGGGAGGGCAGGACAGACCAGCGCTCTGCTCCCCGGCCTTCCAGCGCTGGACAAACACCTCGGGGCAGGAGCTCGCTGGGGCCGAGCCCATCGGGTACCACGCGGCGCCGTCCCCATCACGGACCCTCAGCGAGGCGGCCCCATCCCCTCAGGACCCTCACGGTGCCCCCCAGCCCTCACAGGCCGCACCTTGCCCGGCCCCGCGGGGCTGAGCAGCGGGTGCTGCCTCAGGAAGAGCCGCTCCGCCTCGGGCACCTCCGGCACGGCCGCGCCGCCGCCCGGGCCCGGCGCCGCCATCGCGAGGGTCCCCTCATCCTGTCCCCTGATCGTGTCCCATTATCCTGTCCCCTGTTTCAGTTCCATGATCCTGTCCCCTGTTTAAGTCCAGTCATCCTTTCCAGTCTCCTCATCCTGTCCCTTGATCCAGTTCCCTCCTCCTGTTCCCTCATCCTGATCCAGTCCCTTGATCCTATCTCTTCATCCTCGTCCTGTCCCCTGATCATGTCCCATTATCCCGTCCCCTGACCCAGTCCCTTTCTCTCGTTTCCTGATCATGTCCCCTCATGGTGTCCCCTCATCTTGTCCCCTGTTTCAGCTCCCTGATCCTGTCCCCTGTAGGCTCTTGTTTCTGTCAAGAATAGATTAAGCTGTTGTGTGTTTGCTGATAGCATGAATGGAAGTTCATTGCTCTGCTATAGGCAGCTCTGTAACAGAAATTTTATCTTATTTCATTTAAATTATAGCCTAACCCATAGTGTTTCACAGGCAGTTGCTCATTTGAGACTTAAATCAATGGATAAAAAAATATTTCACACAATCATCAATCACTGATCTTGCCTAAATAACATTTTATAAAGCAGCAACATCACAAAGGATCTTTCTTATTCTGTGTAGGCATCACAGTGCTTGATCAGAAGAACATTTTTTGGATGTCCTCTAACTAAGGGAGGTTCTGGTCTGGTTCAGAAGACTAAAGGTAAGAAAATATTTGTCTGGGCTTCTGCCCTGTTTCACCCTAGTACCAAGACGTAACGTTTCCTGCAGAAGTTTGGCATTTCTTCTCTGAATCCTGTTCCTATTCTGGTTTTCTGTAGGTGTTTGTTTGAGGTTCTGCAGACCACGAGGTTCTACAGCAGCTGCTGGCACATCTGGAGAGGATGCCTTGCTGAAATGGGGCCTTCTCCTCGTCCCTCTGACCACGTTCGCTCTCGGCACATGGCAGGTAAAAATAAATATTTCATTTTTTCAAAAAATGAGCACTTGAGGACTGTCAAGTTTTTCCATCTGTTTGATCTAGTTCAGACAACAGGCAGGTTAAAGATTTGCTTTTGTTTTACATTTCTGTTTTCAAAGTGTCCATTTTTAAGTCTTTAAAGGAAGTAATTTTTTACACTTCTATTTTAGTACAAATATTTCCTCAAATTAAATTCATTAGTTTCTATTTTCATATCTCAAATTACCCTGATTTAGGCCAGATCTGATGATAAAATTATGACCAAGATTTTAAGGCTTGCTGGGGTTGTTGCATTGCTCTGTTCTACCCTGAGGAGGTACTTTTGTGTTTGTTTACTTCCAGGTTCAGCGGCGCAAGTGGAAATTAGATTTGATTGCACAGCTGGCATCAAGAATCAGAGCAGATCCCATCCCTCTGACATTAGAGTATGGAAACAAGGATGGTTTGTTGTCTACAGAGCA